TTTTTTTTTTTTTTCTTGTTTTCTTTTTTCTTTTCTCCAGAAATTTGTACTTTTTTTCTTTCTTTCTTTTATCTGTCTTACAATTAGTGTTGCTCCTGATCGCTTGATTCTATTAACCAGCTAGGAAGAGGAGCCCCCGCCCCGGCAGATAGGACAGGCACGCTGAGGATGACGTGGATGTTCACAAGTATACCCAAGGAGAGCTACTTCAGCACAGCATTCAGCAGGACGGCTAGCACGGGCCATCCCATCAAAACAGTCCTGACAAAGGACATGCTGTCCACATTAAAGAAAACACAGCACGTTCGTCACAGTGCGGCATCATGCAGTCCTGATAGCGTCCTTGAGCACAACAGGGACAACGAATATCTGGGTGATAGGGATGTGTACAATGAGGAAATGTTGGACACCCGTCGGCACAGACGGCGGCGGCTGCAATAGATTGATAATGTTGATGGCATAGGTGATGAATTCCGCAGCCAAGATGCACCGCGTCCCTGTCACACGAGAGTCGATCAATAATCCAGAATCGGTTTTGAAAGTGCACCAATGGCTTTTGCAAGTGCCCAGTGTTTATCACATATTGTTCCTGGGGCGTTCTTTTTTTTCCTGTGCGTTTGAGGGCAGTGTTCTAAGACAGGGAGGTTGACAAAAGAGAAAGAAAAAAGACAGGGACATTGTCGGGGCGTTCCTGTCTTTTCTCCCCCTGGCGTCAAGTTTCCTGTGTGGACATTTGGAATAGTTGGACAAGATCGGACACCCCTCGACCTCATTTTGCTGGGAGAAGCACACACACCCACACAATTCCTACTACTCGTACTCGTACTCGTACTTGGACATTGCTGTCTTCATTGAACACTCATAGAGGAGTGACAACCCGGGAAAAAAGACGAACAGTAAATCCGCATTCGAACTGTTTGTTATTTAAGAGCAGGTGTTCCTTTTTGTGTACCAGTGTCATTGCGGGCGACAAAATAGATAGATAAACAGATAGACAAGATAGATTAGATAAATAGATAGGATAGATATATAGATACGTAGATAAATAGATTGATAGATAGGCAGAGAAACAATCCCAGACAGACGGACATTTATACATCCATGGGGACATTGGTAAAACAGGCAGATATGCAAACATAGATTTGAAAGACAGACATATATAGATTTAAACGACAGATAGACAGAAAGACAGGCAGATGGGAACGACGGTTAGACAGACATGGATTACAAAGATGGATAGACAGGCAGGCAAGCATGGATTACAACGACTGACGTATAGACATGGATTAGAACGACGGATAGACAGACATGGATCTGGAAGACAGATAGCCCGAGATAAGAAAAACATAGACAAACCTATGGTAGAAAATATCAGAACAATGGATACACGAAATATAGTGGATAGATAGAGGGTATATGGAGAAGATAGTAAATGGATGAAGAAGACATGACAAAGACAGATAGACAGGCAGGCAAGCATGGATTACAACGACTGACGTATAGACATGGATTAGAACCAGGGATAGACAGACATGGATCGGGAAGACAGATAGCCCGAGATAAGAAAAACATAGACAAACCTATGGTAGAAATATCAGAACAATGGATACACGAAATATAGTGGATAGATAGGGTATATGCAGAAGATAGTAGATGGATGAAGAAGACATGCAGATATATCTATCTTATCTATTTATCTTATCTATCTTATTTATCTGTTTATCTATCTATTTGTCGCCCGCAATGACACTGGTACACAAAAAAGGAACACCTGCTCTTAAATAACAAACAGTTCGAATGCGGATTTACTGTCCGTCTTTTTTCCCGGGATGTCACTGCTCTACGAGTGTTCAATGAAGGCAGCAATGTCCAAGTACGAGTACGAGTACGAGTAGTAGGAATTGTGTGGGTGTGTGGGTGTGTGGGTGTGTGGGTGTGTGGGTGTGTGCTTCTCCCAGCAAAATGAGGTCGAGGGGTGTCCGATTTTGTCCAACTATTCCAAATGTCCACACAGGAAACTTGACGCCAGCGGGAGAAAAGACAGGAACGCCCCGACAACGTCCCTGTCTATTTTCTTTCTCTTTTGTCAACCTCCCTGTCTTAGAACACTGCCCTCAAACGCACAGGAACAAAAAAAAACTCCCCAGGAACAATAATGTAATAAACACTGGGCACTTGCAAAAGCCATTGGTGCACTTTCAAAAAAAAAAAAAAAAAGTCCTTCGGGACATCCATTAAAATAGGAACAATACACAGAAGAATAGCACGGCCCCTGCGCACGGATGACACGCATAAATCGAGAAAAATAATATAGAACTTAACAAATAAATAATGGCGCAGTGCTAAGGCGCCCTACGCACCTGCCACACAATCTCAGCCCTTTGCACTTCCTCCACCGTACCGTCCAAAACTGGGGGCGAGCGTGGAGAGCGAGTTCTACCGTCCTCCTCCTTCCCCCGATTATGATCGTCGTCAATATAAGCTATGTCGATCCCATTCCGCGGAAATGGAGAAGTTCCGAGAACAGTTGTCACGGCCAAAGAGTGGGAATAAATTCCCATTCCTATCAAAGCGAGAAACAACAGCCCGGCAACAATCGAACTCAATGTGGCCAACGATCGTCCTCTCCCAGGGCTCGAAGGATTTCCAGCCATCGTCATCGGCGCCATACTTCTATTTCCCTTGCGTGTAGCAGTTACTTCACCCGCTCTCCCTGCAATCGCGCCTGCCTCTCTCTCTCTCTCTCTCTCTCTCTCTCTCTCTCTCTCTCTCTCTCTCTCTCTC